ACGGGGGTCCTCCCGGCGCTAGACGTCCCTCCCGGACAAGCCGCCCTGGACGGGCCCGCTGCCGCCTCTCCCTACGCGTCTCCGTCCGGGCCCGCGGCAGACGCGAAGGAGACGTGCGGCGGGGCTCATGCCCCGAGGGCAGGCAGGCTCCGAATTCCTCCCGAGGTCCTCAAGCGTCCAAGTGTGAATGTCCCATTGAACTAAGCACCCTCAGGCCACCTTCAAAACATTAATGATACTTCGAGCTCCCTGACTACTTGAATTACCGTGAATAAGGGCAGGCAGACAGGACAAGAGTGCTGTCAGCCACACTAAGAGCAGACTTGCACCTACATGAAATTCCAAAATGCACAAGCCGCTCTGAGGACAAGAGCAGCCTGGCTTAGTAATGAAGAGCCTAGGCCAGAGATCCTTCTTCCTAGCCCCAATTCCTTCTGTGGTTGAGGCAAAGTACATTGCTCAATGCTTCTGTTTTGGTTTGGTTTTCTTTGGAGAAGGAAGAAGGCAGTAATTTCCTACCTTTTAAAGTACCCTAAACAATAACAGAGGTTTGGAGAGGTTTCATGTGTAGTAATAAGTAAGCATATATTTCTGATGAATCCAAGATTACTACCACTCAAAAATTTTGTCTAAAAACTCATGGCATACAATTTCTACAGACTTTACTTCAAAGTACCATTTTAATTAGGGTACCAGAATTTCATCAAAAGGATGTATGCAATCCACAGGGGTAGAGATCTCCCCATCTGTGGTTTCACACTGTCATAAACAGGTATCATACAATGGAGGATGCATCAGCTGTGAACTTTTGGAATATTCATACACAGCAACCAAGGACAGGATGTGAAGGAGCAAAAGATACCAACGGAAGGACACAGTGTGTGTGCTCTGTGTGCAGATGGAGAAAGTGAATCCTCAAATGTTCAGGAGAAAAAAACCACTAAAATGATGTAACAGACCTAAGTGCATATAAAGCATACCGGTACATGGAACTTTTGGACTTCAGCTGTTGAACCCGTTCTGTTCTGGTGATCTAATACTAAGTGTTAACTGATGAATGTTAACTTTGTTATTTACCACAAAAAAGTCTGAATGACTAATACCATTCTAATTCAAGATTACAGTGAAGGTGATTGTGTACCAGAACTGGTGGTTGACGGGCAAAACCAACTGTGGAGCAGACAACTGCCTGCTCCGGAAGCACCGACTAGTGGGATGGGATCTCCCCAGTGCCAGTTACCAGCAACAGGGGAAGGGGCAGTGAGAGTCATTTCCAGGATGACATCCATCACTACCTGCGCACATCAGTTTGCATTCATCCTCAACGCAAACTGAAAACTAAGAAGAACTAAAAATTCATTCAATTTGGGTCCCCTGGCACCCAAGGGCTGTGATGGGCAGAGCCGGAGAGGCCGTCACTACACCACGCGGTACTAATGAGCGCAGGAGCCTGCGGCAGGGTCGGGACTACCTGGTCCCCCATCACCAGCAGGAAGGATGCCTCACTGGCCATTTATTGTTACTATCAGTTAAAAGGGGTGCCTTGGTTGGCAGTTTAGCCGCAAAACCGTGCAGTCATCCTTCATACAGCTTCCCCAAAAGATGTTGCTATTTTGTGCAACATACACCGAGATTTAGCAGGAACGTACTGCAACTCATCTCTTTAGCCTGAACCCTGAATACTAAAAGACAGGGCTTTTTCCCCTTCCTGACACTGCAGCTCACATCTTTTCAAATCCATTCCTTCTTCTCTTCATGGATTAGCAGGGAAAAAAAAAAAAATCCAAAATAATTGGGGTTTAGACCACAGGTAATCAAGCACATCCAACCTGTGCTAAAACATTAAGGATTTAACTTTGCTCCTGAATAACTGAATAGCGCTTAGCTGCAAAAAAATAGAAAGAACATCTTACTAAAGCTGGGCAAAGTATTAGAGTATTTCACTCCAATCCGTTATCAGTTTAAGTCAGAATGAACAGTTTGTCTAAATACTAACAAAAAGAAGTTTTAAAGTCACTTCTGCAAATCTAATTACCAAATTTGGATATAGTCATATGCATATCCCACTTTTTAATGTATTTTCATATTTATTCAAGTGTAATGCTGACATTTTCAGCCCTCTATAGCAGATTCCTAAATAAAAGGCAGTTTAGGCACCTTTAAAACTAGTTTATTTCACAAGTCGCATTTATACATTAGCCATAAGTTCTTTTAGTAAGAAGTATTTAAGTATGAAAGTAAAAAAAAAAATCGTTTAAAATATAGCTTTTTAATAACATCCAACAGGCTTTAAACAGACCTTTCACATATTCTCATTAAGCTCTTCCCGTAAGGCACACGTATAGACATTTCAAAGGAGCATATAACTTACCAAATCTTTACAATGTTTATAAAACTCTGTCTTTGGAAAAGCATACAATGAATAATATACAAACATAAATGGCACACTGCAAATTTTAGACAGAACTGTAATGAAATCTTTATGCATACTACCCAGATTGTAGTGGCCCGCCTCCACTGGGGAATAAACTGTGTTACTGGATGCAAGGTAGTTTTAAGACTACTCTGCACAAGGTATTTAAATGTACTTTTTTGTTAAAAGAAGCCTAAAAGTTCCAGGGTAAACACAAACAGTTCACCCAATGTATTTTTAAAACTGTTTCTAGTAAAAATTATTTAATCCCCCAAATGCAAAAGGCAAGGAACTACTAAATTGTTACTGGGTATTTCATGAGTGGAAAAGTATAGTTTCCCGAGCAAGATTCACAGAGGAATAAAAGTTGGCTTTTAAAGCATACAGTGGTTCCTGGTTTTAATTTACCCTAGACAGGAGGAGAAGCATTTAATCACAGCATCCCTTTAAAAAGAAGAAGAAAAAGTCAGTTAAGGTATGTTATTTTCTTTACATACATATCAACCATTACGTAGTTAAAAATATTACATGAACTCAAGACAAAACCCAATAGTTTGTCACAGGATCTTAACAGCCATTGTTACGTTGCATACATCTACAGCACCAGCTAAAGCGAAGGCTGAAGCCCGCTCTGAAGCTCAGCTCTGCCCACATTGCCCAAGTCTTCCACACTGTTTACACTCACGCAGGCACAGTGTTAAAAATTGTTCTGCAGCACACTCGGTGGCTTAGCAAAGGTCAAAGCTGTACTTCGCGAGGGCTGGCCAGCAAGGGCAGGGCTGAGGAGCACGCCGAAGCCAGACAATCGGCAAAGCACAGGTGCTTTGAGTCCAAGCCACATTTGAGTCAGACCATCATGTTGCAGGAAAAAAAAAACCCACAGGCTGAAGGGCTTAAAGCACATGTCCTCACAGTGCAGGATGAAGAGCTGGCTCAGCCTTAGGGTTTGAAAGATCCGCAGGGGTCTATTTCTTTAACCGACAATAAACAAACTGCTTTCTGACTATTCTACTTAGATCACTCGCTTTAGTCTCCTTTCTTTTTCATTTTCTCAAAAATGTAACAACTCGTTAAGGAGTGGAATTTCTATTCCATAGTTACTCAATTTGAAAAAATGAAGAAAAATACTATCATGACTCCTTAAAGTCATTGTATGTATGTTTTGTTGTTGTTGTTGTTTTGGGGTTTTTTTGTTTAGGTTTTTGGGGTTTTTTGCCATGCCAGCAGGAGAGCCACCATTAATTGAAAAGAAAGAAAAAAAACCCCCACAAACCACAAACAAGTAAATTGTTGTTAAGAGTAAACCATTAACAGAGTTAAATCAAATCAGGACAATTTTGTTGAAATCAAGATAAATGCATACTTTAAACAAATTACATAATACTGTTCACTGGCACTTAACATGGTTTAGATCACTATTTCCATAAGAAAGGCAGCCTATACAAAAAATTTATGATAGCATTCCACATAAGCAAATAACTCAACAATCCCTAAAGAAGTCACTGTACTACTAGAAGAAGCCTGTGTAAAATTCAGTTCTTTGACTCATAAAATCTAATAGACAAATAAAAACAAAGAAGTCAAGTGCTGCATATAACTTAATGTTTTTCTGACCAGAACTTAAAGTACTGTTGGTAGGGAACAAAAGACCAGTGACCAGTAGCTCAACTTGTTTTCTGTGTGAAGCAGAACATTTAAAAAAAAGAAAAAAATAAGGACAAAAAAAGAATGACCCTACTGAGACTGTCACATGGCCACAGGAACTATAGGAACTCAGAATACTACTTTTGACTGGGTTAGCTTGAGATGTCAGAAATAGTGAGATGACAGTTTGAAGCCTGAGTTCAGTTAAAGTATTTAATCCATTGTAATTATCAACTACTATCTTTAAAAAAAAAAAAAAATACGGCTTAATCCTCCCTAGATGAAATCTGAAGCTTTAAAAAAAAAATCCATAGTACAGAGTTTTCATCAAAGTTACAGAAACGCTACAGGAATGTATCAGATGAAAGGGACAGACAATATTTTGTATTCTTTTTTTCCCCACTTTCACTACAGAAAACCTCATCAAGCAATATACAGACATGGAAGCACTTTGTTGTTTTAAAAAACACACTGCTGAAAGACCAAACTGCATTTTATGGGAAACATTATAGAAAAAAAAGATTCTTCAGTTTGTTTACTCGCATGTGGTTTCACTATGTGTTTGGCTAGATTTCGTTCCCTTTTTGTACACGCAAGAATGAAATGAAAGAGAAAAGCTTGCCAAAATGAAAATTAACACGAAGCATTGCTTTTGCCTCTCCTAAAAAATGGAGGAATTCAGAAGTAGACTTAGCAGCTGAAACTATGCTTGTTTGTTTGCTTTTAACTAAGACCTCAAACCCATACATGATCTTTAACGTAAGTACTGGAAAAGTCACTATTGCATCAATGTATTTTTAAATCACTGGAGAATTTAAACAAAAACTATTTTCAGTGATGAAAACTAGAATGAAATTTAACAAAAGAGAATTACTATGCACTTTACTTGTATTTAAAGCTTATATTAAGCATTACTTTGAGTTCAGCTATGTCATTTTCTAAAAATTAAAAGGGAGGAGGTTATGTTTTTTCACATACTGAATTTAAGGACTTCTTCCCCCTCCCTAGCATAAAGATAACTGACTTTTGTTAAGATGGAAGTAATTATGCAGACTCACCTTGCAAAAGGAATATATGACAGACTATACCTGAAAAAAAGAGGAAAAAAAGTGTTTGACAGTGTTCATGTCTCTCCTAGAACCCAATTATTTCACTTCAGTCCAGCATTAATAAAATCAACCCATTGTAACAAAACTTTAAACAAGATCATCTACTCAATTTAATGCTTACCTGAGAAAAGATGACACGCTTGAACCAAACATACTGCCAAGGATTACCTGGTTTACTTTTTCCTTGGGGTTTTTGTTGTTGTTGGTTTTTTTTTTTAAATATAGTTCATAACTCCTATTGCACATAAATTTAAAAAAGCAGAATTTACTATTACCAGTTTCAAAAAGAATGGAGATTTCTGGGAAAACAGTATTCTTCAAGATGACAGAGACAACTTTTTCCAGTTTAAAAGACAATATACCTTACTATGCAAATATACACCTAATCATATTATTTATGTAACTCTAAATACAGATAGATACATGCAGTAGTATGAATAATACGCCACAACTGTGACACTCAAACAGCTGATAATTCTATTATCCTCTGAAACTTGCTTCTCGCAAGCCTCCAGGCTATGTTTTGTTCTCAGGCCCAGCCTGATCAAGCTCTAGGACACTTAACAAACATGAAGCTGTCTGCTGTAAACATGTAGAACATAGTTTGAGTTAGCAATGTTCCCTCTATCTAGTATCAAGCATTTACCTGGGCCCAGCACAATGCCCAACAGTCCCTATCCTGAACAAATGGTTATTTGTCCTCAGATCCAAGTTCAGTATAGACACCGTGCATTCAGGGCAAGTTCAAACAAGAACTGTCGTCACCTTGGATCACCTAAGAGCTAGTACCAAGTAATTCACCTGGGACAAGGAGACCAAGTATGTTCAGTTGTATCTCCATGGAGAAAGCAGTAACTTCCAAAACTTCTGCCAGGCTTGCAAGCATTCACCTAACTGTGCTCACGCATTCCCAAGCCCTCGAGCGCATCTGGATGGTCACATCATAGTACCTGCTGCACCAAACCGACCCTCTCACATTCACCCACTCTTTACCCAGTGCCACTGAATATTCTTGGGGCAGGACACATCCTATGAAAATGTTATTTAGTTTCTTCCACTTCAGAAATGAAAATTTAGTTAGAACTCAAAAAAGAGGGAGATAATCAAAAGCAGGGCATATGAATATACAGTTACTTTCACAACAGAGAAAAGGCATGAGAATTTTTTTGCATATGCCTCAAATAAGTTCACACATTGCAGCATATACTTAAAATTACCATTTTTGCAAGACAGTTGCATATAGATTTGCTGAAGTTACACAGCCTAGCTTAGCAAAACAGATTGAGGCTAGCATTTGGGCACTCTTATGTTATGCGAAGCATATATATATATAGGTTTATAATCATGCGGGTGTAGGGGCAGGGAGAAGAAATGAAAATGAATTTTAAGAATCTTACCAGGTCATTGCCAAGAACTGCAATATGCAGAATAACACCGCCAAACCTTTTTTGTTCCACTAAGTAAAAATAAAGCAAATATTGCAAGTTAGTTCACTTTTGCACCAGTCTATACTGTAAACAATTGCAACAGCCTGTTCAGCCAAAAATTTAGTTAACTGACAATGCCTAAATTTCCTTGTCTTAACTTAATTTGCTACTTCTTTCCACTCTAACAACTTTCCATTCATTTTATCTGTCACTCCATTAGCATCATGCTATGAAAACCTTCTCTAGCTTTGAAAACACTTAACAACATCAATGCTAACACTTTCACTTTCATTCACAATACTGTACTTCTGTAAATATGGAAGTTCACTTCAGCTACATATTTACTTCTATGGAACATAACTACAGCCAGTTTTTCAATCAAGATGCCTGAAGGCACTTGTTCTGTGTCCCTTCCTTTGTCTTAATCAGTTTAATATTCCGTACCCGTGGTTTCTAAAGACCACTATGTATTCTCTGATATTCTCTGACATAAGTACGCATCACTAAGATGCAAGTATATTTTAGCTTTCTTTTCTTTGTTCTTATTCCAGAGGCCTGCAGACTGAAACTGATGCTCTAGATTTTGTATTTTCATCCACATCACATGCAGGTGGAAGGGTGCATTTGCTTTGTAGCCAGCAGGCTCACCACTCCACCTAAACTCGCCTGCAGTTTAAAACACAAATACTACACACCCAAGCTCATCTTTCCTCTACAACTGAACTGTATGTTAAAGCTCTAATACAGTTAATGAACTAACCAAGCTAGATTACTTTGTTCCTCTAAAGAGCATTCTCACTTACCCAGAATACAGCACACAGAGTCAATACTAGGAAAAGCTGGGGGGAGATGAAAGGAGAGACAAAAAAAAAAAAAAGAACAGAATGAATACTCAAATACACAACAAAGCAAATACAGTAATTGTTTTCATGTTTTCAGTGGGTAATCAGCATTTTCAGAATTGACTCATGAAACAAGCAGAGCCAAAGTCTGTCACACAGTGACTATCTGCTGAACTTCATGTAAAGTGGTGTTCTCCAAAGCACAGCATGATGTACTCCATGGCCAGGGCTGGGACAAGTCTTAGAAGAAAGAAGAGGCAGGAACTGACTTCAGGAATCAGGAGTATAACCAGGTCTGTGTAGCCTTATGTGTTAGGTCTATTAAGAGGTGGGCTTAGATGATAAAGCTTGCTTGAGAGCAACTAAGTAGTCTGGGAACTGCTGTTCTATTATTTCAGTACATAGTATCATTTTGGATGTAGTATTCATAACATCAACATCTGACAAGAAAGGTATGTGCATCACTATGAACAACCCATTATTAAAAACACCCATTCACAATTACAGTATTTGGCAAACACAGGCTCTGCTGCTTCTGCCAGTGTTTTTTCATCTTCTCACAGTAATGAAGAGCCCACTAGGGAGCAGCTGCTCCATACGCAGTGAAAAAGCTCACATGAAGGTTTATTCAAGCTACTTATACACCTTTGATGGAACATTACAATGATATCGTTTACTATGCCAAATCAATCACACCATTTGTGCAAGCATCACTTTGAACTTTTCCACTAAATTTCACCTGGCTCCCTCCATTTGTCATTACACATAGTAGAAAACAGAACAAAGCTCTAATTTTCACTGAAAAAAAATTTGTTGGCGTTTTATTGAAAGAAATAAAAGTAACAGACTCTCTTGAAATTTTCCAAACATATCTGTAACTCCTGAGTTGCCTACAATTCTAGCTTTGTGTTAGGATGGGGAAGAAAATAGTCAAATACATCAAAAGTTTTCTAAACTTTGGAAGTTTACCAGTTCTTCTCTGTATTACTGAAATTTTCCATCCTAACAGTCTTAGCTCTCATCCAATGTTCCTGTCACCTATTAGATGAAACCTTTCATTCTGTCTTTTCCTAACCTTGTTGGTAGCTTCTCTGCACAGGTAGGTAGGTAGGTAGGTCTGTGATGTTTTTTCTACTGTCTGTTCTCTTTCCATTTCCCTGATGTGTCTTGTTTCTACAGCCTTCAAAGCAAGTTATTTTCTTTATCACCATGTCTGAGCACAGTGGATGATAGGATAACAGAGCAAACAATTTTTGTGCTGGCTGTTTTAGTGTCTGGCTTAGGCCCTCAGCTTGACCAGAAAAAGCCCACAGCTGTAAACTGTTGGAGAATTCATGCTCAGCAAATACAGACTCTAGAGAATTGGAGATATTCTTGGACATTTTTACTGCAGACCTGTGAAACATAACTTCCCTAGGACTTGTAACTTAGTACAATTTGGAAGAGACGGCAAAAAGTCACCTCTTTAACAAAGCTTGGAGTCCAAGCAAGGATCAAGTCCCTTCTCCAAAAGATGTGGGTAACGCGAGCTTCTCAAATGAGATTATAACTTTTTTTTTTCATGGGGGTGTGTGAGAGAAAGAATATACAACCCATATGACAGCCATCCAGAAAGAATTCATGAAGGGTTTCTTATCCACATCAGCTGTAATCAACTAGAAAAGAAAGCTGTAAGATAGGGAGACTAGGACAGCCAACTACATTTCAAAAATAAAAGCTGAAACAAATCAGGAGGAACAAGAGAGAAAATAAATACAAAACAGAGAAGCAGCAAGGGCAGAAACTTGTTTTTAACTACCTAATACAGAGTTTTGGGATAGGAATTCTGAGATTGGGGACGGGACTGGTTTTTTCCTTCCTCCTGGAAGAAGAAATGATGGTCATGGAAGTGAAGGAGCCAAAGACCTCACAATGGAGAAGTGTGAAGCTGAACATGCAGCTTCCCAGACTTTGGGGAGAGAAATTAATTTTCTCCATTGCTTTGACAGTGCCGAACCACTAAGCTATACAAACAGAACTGCAGCCAACAAACAACTGTCAAGTTAGACTTGGTGACCACTGACTTTTCACAGTAGCTGAAAAGTCTCTCTCCAGCCTGGTTCTTGAATAAATTGTTTTAGAAAACAAATTAAAAATAATAAATCTAATATTAGCATTTAGTAAGAAATATTTAGTAAAGAACATGTTAAAAAAATCATAAGCAACAAAAACTCAAGCTCATAGAAAGGAGTTAGATAATCTTTATGATAGAGCTAATCAGCTTGACTATTATTGCTCAGTACAAAGAAGAGTTGGACTGAGAAATAACCTCTCTTTAGTAAAGCCCTGGATTTAGCTTTGAGGCTAAAGGAAAACTTTTTAGCAAAAGGAAGTAAAGACAGTGTATTTACCAACATCACAACTGTAGCTATTAATCTTTTTGGCTCAAACATTGCTTTCAATTGCTTCAGTGGCCCCATCAGGAAACATGTACTAATAGGAGGGAAAAAACAAAACAAATGGTAAATCACTTTCAAATAAATCTTTGCAAAAGACAATAGGTAATTAACCAGTTTTCCAACAGTTAGATGAGTACAAAGGCTTCAAAAAAGGCATTTCAGTGTTTAGCAACAGAGACCCGCTAGAATGAAAGGTGAAATACTCCATGAATGTAGTCCTGGAAACAGCTTATATATCGAGTCACCCTTGGTCATGAAATTCTTTCCAAAAACATTACCACTTATAGCAGAGGGTTGTCAGGTTGAAGTCCAGTGAATTTCATGTTGAGGCTGTTCTGAGAACTGACTTGCCAAAAGAATGAAAAGAATACAAAGACCAAACTTCTGTAGAAAATCTGTTTAACAATAAACTCCTTACCCAGGCAGCGCACAAGTAGCTACAATCAATATTACAGGGAAGCTCTAACTCTTTGCCCAAACTCAGCAAGCCAAAAAAGAAGGAAAAACTTCAGTAGTTTGTATTAAATCCTCCTGCTTTCTTCTACTCTGTAGTTAACTTGAAGGGAGAATGAAAGCCATCAGCGATGCTAGGCTGTACCTGTTCTTGCAAAGAAATGCGTTGTGAACCAAGAATTCACAACCGTAGGAGTAATTATCTGGCTTCAAATATTCTGAGATGAGTATATTATGACTATATTATGAGAATATTCTGACTCCTTCCCCGTCATTGAAGCCATTCTGCTTTGTAGAAAACATTTAGTGAGAAAGTGAGAATGCCTGTAACCTTGTGGTGGTCTGAATGCTTTACTACAGAGTAGGAAACCTAGTTTAACTCCTTTTCTAGTTAATATTTATTTATATGAAATGAAACAATCAGTAGCAGGGAGGAGTTTGGTAGAGCTCCCTCCTGAAACCAGTCATAAGCCTGGTGAAGCACACATCTTCTAAGATAGAAGAAATATGGGAATCCATGTCCCAAGCAGTAAACTGAACCCACGACCTCCCATACCCAGATGTCCCCCTACCAGCAACTTCGTGTATGTATCTCTCCACTTTGCTTTTCTTCTTTAAGTTGTGTAGACAGACCTCAAAAGTCCATATTAAATGGAAAAAAATGTTTTCTCAATTCAAAAGAAGAAAAATGTTTTAAATTCACTGCAATCCAAACTAACTTTTTCTCAGTATTTTTTAATCTTGGCTGCTGGGACATAAAATTAAATTAAGACCAAAAAAGAGGCCTGAATAACTAGAATAAAAAAATTAGTTAGCTAGTGGAAGGATAGGGATGATGAAAATGTGGTGGTAAAAATGAGGAAGGTTCAGGCCACATAAAATAGGCAGAAAAAAAATATAGAAAGCAAAATGCATTGATGCTAGCCTGTTTAGCATTGAAGGACAGACATCACAAGAGCTTCTCTAGAGATGAGAGAATCCATAGGGAGCAGAAAGGCTGGAAAAAATCTAGAGGTCCTCCACTTAAACAGGATACTTCTTATATACAATGCATTCCGTAGAAGATACACCCATCATCCCAGAGAAGAATCAAGTAAGTATCATTGTTTTCATGTTTGTGGCTAGAAAATCATAGTAAAAACAGGCTAGACAGGACTATCTAGTAAGAGTGGTAACTGCATTTGTTTTAAATAGACTTGCAAACAAGCCTGAAAAAGTTTAAATCTCCTTGTCAATTTGGGACTGTATTGTCATTTCCTACTGTTCTTAGAACACAGTTGCCTGTCATTTATATCTAAAAGGACTACTGAAGGGGAAGGGGGTGTCTTTTCACTTCTACTTTTAGTTGGAGTCCAGACTAAAGTTTTTCAGCATTCTCCTAAAAGAAATACCAGTCTGTAAAAGCTTTCCTTTTAGTTCACTGACAATTAGACTTGATTAGTACCAAGTTTCTAAAATGCTAATTTAATCTGAAGCAGTGAAAACACACCCAAAATACTAGGTAAGAAAAAAAAAAACAACCAAAAAACCAACAACAAAGAATAAAGAATAAGGTAAGGGAGAGAAAGGGAAATACTCAGTTTTACCTACCTCCAGTATTAACTTTTTGTCTTGTTTTAGTATGAGATGGAATAGTTATACAAATGAGACTCAGTTCCATTATAAACATTTTTGTTGTTTTGACTACTTAGTTAGCTAATTTGTTGAGGAAAAGCAGTACACCATCACATTTCTCAAATGTTAATGTCACATTGCTGGAGTTTTAACAGACTAACAATGCTTTGACTCAAGAGTTAAGTGACTCGACTAAAGTCACAGAGTCCATGAAAGTCAAGACCAGATTCCATGGGTTCCGAGTCCCATGACCATGCTTCAACTATGCTAAGATAGTAAGAGAAGGAGGACAAAGACAAACTGAAACTACTTTATTGACACTAAGTTGTTTCTTACATGTCTTTCAAACAGTGAAAGAAGAGTTTTAGATCCTAGGAGGTCCCTTCTGCAAATCTTTTAAGACTAACTGCTATGGGGAACACTGCAAAGAAGCAAGTACAGAGTTTAAAAATAAACTGTGAACGATTTTTAGATTCTGCCTGGCCTTAGAGTCAAAATGAGGATTTCCTGAACCTCTCCTTTTTCAAAGAGTTTTCCTAGAAACAGGATGATCTCTCTGTTAAAAGCAAAAAGCTCCTTCCAGTAACAAAGCATCCACACAGCAGGCAGACTACCAGTTTGCCCCTGAAACTGAGGTACCTCTGTACCTGGCAGAAAGACTTAAAAAAAGTACAAAACATTCAGGCAGCAATTTGTTATTCATACTTCAGATAGCAGTTGTGATGTGTCCACAAACAATCATGTAAGACATCACAATGGGGTAATTAGAAGTGAATAACTGATATTCACCAATTATGATAATCTTAAAACTGTAAGACAAACAAGATTTTGTTATTAGCATTTCAATATGAAAACAATGTTGTTTATACACAACATAAACAGACACCATTTTAGAGTAAAAGCAAATGGAAATGTAGATGAAAAGGAGGGTACTTTTCTAATAACAATAATTAAGAAATCGTACCTGGCTAATGCAGCGATATTTCCCAGGGTGTAAAACACTGCAAAAAGTTTGATCCCCTTTGGGAGCCATAGCAATGCTGTTCCCTATAAAAGATAGGTTATTTGTATGTTTGTAATTAGTTAATTCAATTTATTTAGATTTTATAGTCTATAAATATATTTTCAGACTATGAAGAGTGTCATTCTAACATATACCAGCAGAGTATACTGTTCTCAGATTTGTAGTAGTCAATATTCAGCATACTTCTATTGCCACCTACTGGCAAAATAATTCATTGGTTTACTGTATTTCACAGTATTTTTACAACTAGGCAACGTTTATTTATATTGTTTATAACATTTATTTGTACTGTTTATAGCCTAGTTATGACACTTTCAGTTTTGTTACAATGCCCCACTACACATCATACACCTCTGCTCACAGAGGAAAAAGTGTCATAAAGCCACACTAATATCCACCATCCCCTTTCTCCTCCAATCAATCACTTGGACTTGCAGTCTCGATATGCACTGAGGCTGAATAGAAATATTTTAGAACTCCTACTTCCAGGCATCTCTTATTTCCACTAACACAAAAAAAATCCAAAGCCTTCTGCTAATCACAGTCCCTATGATGATCAGGGAGAAATACAGCCTAAACTAGAAGCAAAAAAACCCCCAAAACCTAAAAAAACATGTTAACTTTTTTTTTTTTAAAAAAAGCTGTGATGTGGACACGGTATCCTGAAAAAAAAAAGGCAACTATATTCTACCCAATTGCAATTTCAGTGGGAATCTGTGGTGTCAGTTTGCACAGACCACAATACAAGCAATCATGGAAAGCAGCAAGAGAAGAATGTAATTGTATTCTACAAAGAAAGCCTATGGACACTTTGCAAAGACTAGATTAAAGAAAAAACACCACCTGCAATTTTGGCCAGCAAAGAACGTAATAAATATACCAGGTTGCGGACATATGAGATCTAAGGATCAGGTACATGACCATAAGGGATGACCTGAACATTTCTTTGAGGGCCTCCCTAACGCTGTAGCAAAAGGTCCATGATCTGAAGCAGAAGAAGGTGGAGTTGCCAGCGCTCAGCTTCATGTGGCAAAGCTTAGCTAGGGAGCTGCCTCCAAACTCTCCAAGACACGAGGTCCACAAACACAGCAGCAGAGGTTTGACTCTTATCTATCAAGCTCAAGATAACTCAAGGAAACTTTAGGAAACCAAGATCCTAAAGCCTTTTATTTGTTGTTTCATAGTTTCACACCATGTAATATAAAATAGGCACAAAGATCAAACACTAAAAAAATAGCAGCAAAAAGAGTGATGTTAACCTGTCCAGAAATAGGCATTAAAGCACAAACGTGGTGTGTACTAAAATTTGTGATTATATTGGTTAAATACTACTTGCAAAAAAAATGGAGGGGGGGAGGGAGTCAACCAAATAATGCTTAAGCAACCCTAAAAAAGGGATATTCCAAACCAATCTTGAGTTCCCTCCCTAGAACTTGCCCCTTCTCTAACACAAGCATCTGGCTAGAGTTTGTGCCACTCTACTTTGCATAGATACCAATATGAAGAATACCATTCTCCAGTTCCTTTATTGAACTGATTACCACTTAAATAAGACCTCTCATAGGTAAGACCAGCAATTGTTCTGATTTACCTCTGGGTCTCAGGGAGTCTAACAAATCGCAAGTTTTGATAAAGAATCAGAAGCTTCCACCTGCAGGAGAATCCAGTGAGTGACCATCTCTAAGCGAGCACCTCAATCAACAGGTTGCTTCGCCACAGCGGCTTCTTCCTGTCATTACATAAGTCTCCTTGGTCTAAAAACTTTTCGTGATAAATGAAAGAGCAGCAGCAGTCATTTAAATAATGGCAAAAGCAGAAACTAATGCACACAGGACAAGTTTCTCCATCCTACTACCAGAATGCATTACGAGTCAAGGCAATCTGCCTGACAGTCTCCACAAAAACTGCAAATGTCATCCACACACATTAGCCAAAGGCTGCTGACTAGCTTACATCAAAAGTAACATTCTACTTCATAATGAAAAAAAGGAAGGAAAAAAAAAAGTCTGGATACTTCCCCAATGTTATTTCACCTGCTTCTGGGACTTTTCATGCAGATGAACTGCTTTGTACTGCAAGTTACCCGTGTCAGATTTTGATAGACCAAATCAATTAACAGATCTCAACTTTTAACTGCAGCCTCGAGTCTCCTGTCAACACCTCAAGTTCAAGAATGAACAAATGATTTGCTGACCATAAGATGAATAGGAGTGCAGCAGGTTTCTGAAGTGTCAACATGCTACCACAGTCATCACCTATTGATTTGTGAGTGTGACAGGTTACACTTGTGGTTTCTTCAGCCTTTGAAAACCTTTCAAGCTTCCCCCTCCTTTTCCCCTTTTATTAGAGAGAATAAGATGGGTACACACTGAACAACAGCAAAAGCTCTTTCCTAGTACACCACTCAAATCTAAATTAAAAATAGCGCATATTTTGTCAGTGTTCAAACCTTTTAGTAAGAAATTTTATTACACTACAATAAAAATGCTCTCTGCTGTGAATGGAAGATGGACAAAATCATAATTTACAGAACAACAGCCCCTACATGCTAATCATACATTTAATGTCCAGTTAAATTTATGGATACAAAATTTAGGATGCAGGATAAAGCAAACACAGAATCACATATAAAGTATTAATACTAATCATACTAATGTCCAGTTAAATTTATGGATACAAAAAAAAAGTATTACAAACCCAGTTTTGAACAACCTAAAGAACATTTTTTTCTTTACTATCGAAGTCCTTAATTTCAAACAAAATAATTTTTTAGCCAGAAACAATTATTTTACCTTGCCTAACAGTTGTTTGCATATTAATTATTTCAGTTTAAGAAATTATATTAGCAATCTGTACATTTAATGTCCAGTTAAATTTATGGATACAAAATTTAGGATGCAGGATAAAGCAAACACAGAATCACATATAAAGTATTAATATGAACAAGGTTCTACTGTAGAACATTAATAAAGTACAGTGGAAAAAAAACCCTTTACTTACAAGAATAGAACACACAATGCCAGCAACAAAACATATGGCAAACCATCTGACTCGAGTACCAAAGCTGAGTGTTGAGGCATCAAGGACCTTAATAGGAGAGGAAAAAAAAAAGGGTATTACAAACCCAGTTTTGAACAACCTAAAGAACATTTTTTTCTTTACTATCGAAGTCCTTAATTTCAAACAAAATAATTTTTTAGCCAGAAACAATTATTTTACCTTGCCTAACAGTTGTTTGCATATTAATTATTTCAGTTTAAGAAATTATATTAGCAATCTGGAAACAAATTTCCAAAACAAACAAACAAACAAGACAAAACCTGTGAAGTTATATCCTGGCACTCAAGCAATACTGCTCCACTTTCAAAACGACTTTCTTTTCACCATACAATTACAACTGAAAATTATCACAATTGTACCAAAGCAGAAGAATGAATGGACCTTCCAGCAATTTGCAGATGAACATATCTATTTGTGCAGCACTGTATGTTCCTATAGACATTACTACCTCTTCCTGTTACTAGACAGAATCCATTGTACGCATTAGTACAAGTATCCACTGCAAGCATTATGATTCCACTTCAATTACTGTTCCCTACAGGGTGAAGGTGTAGGCAGATTAACACAGCTTGTCTCATCAGACAGCTAACTTGCTTAAAGGGGTAATTTTACTTCCTGCTTCTCCAGTGTGACTCCAGAACCTGTAACACCCTTTAATGAGCTGAGCTGAGCGAGCTGACACAACTCACAAAGCGGGAAAAGAACTAGTGTTCCTTCTATTCTGATGACTTAGTCCTATGCTAGACTAATGAGCCAATCCAGCTCAGCAAGATGTCAGAAAAGCGGTGGGGCTGATACAAGGAAAGAGGCAGGGCCACATAGCTGGCAGAAGAACAGCCCCTTTCAGCACAAGTGACTGCTCAGATACGCTCAGCTCATCTTCTCCACCCATGCTGTAAGAACAATGTATTTCAGCTTACTGCAGGTCACTAAAATTAAATATACTTTCTATCCTGAACTGGTCTAGTAAGTGAAGCGTTGCTTCAGCTTACTTAAGATGACTATAAAAAGCTAACTTTCCTATTTGTTCAGATGACACAAGCAAACTTGCCCTCTTGTTACCTAGTCTACAGATATTTTCAATCAAGTACTATTAACCAAATATACAAGTTAGGGCTTCCCCAACTAATGAGTTTGATGTTTCTCCTGCTCTTCTGAGAAATTTCTCTTTCAGGTAGCGGTAAGTGAATGAATGAAATTTGGTTACTGCTTAGAATGATTTCACATCTGTACAAATGAAGAATCCATACCTAGTTTAATAAAAAAGGGCCACATGAAAGCACACATCTATGTGTTGTGATGAATCAGCATCTGAACATATGTCAACAAGGAATAGCTTGGACTACTTTCTACTTATAAAAAAATTACTAACCTTATTTAATCAAATTAAATACTTTGAATATTTACTTAAGAAGGGGGATCAGAATACTAAAAATAATCTTTTACACTTGCATACTGCCTGAGCAGACACAGAGCTGGGATACAACATTGTTGTGAATTTTCTTTCCCCTTCTCTGTGTTCAGCAGTTAAGACAGAACTTCCCAAAGGTCAGGAGATGCAACTTACCTTGTTAGGTCCAACTCTTTATCCTTATGTACGCATTAAAGAAATAGACAAAAACAGTAACTGAAAGGTGGTTTAGTATTTGAAATCACATTTGATAGTCATATTCCTGAATGCCTATACATGTAAGAAGGGCAGGAAGAGCTGGCAGGACATAACTGAAGACACCCATTTGAATCATGCTTTTAGTTACACCTAACATAGCATTCTCTGCAATAATAAAACTAAATAAATTAATTGGCATTAAAATGAAGGCTGATCCTCCAACCATTCCTGATGCCATCACCATTTACGTTATCAAGCTGAACCTAGTTAATGCAATGTTTGAAATCCTGAAACTGCAGATCTGGTAATGCGTTTTCTTAGTCCCTGATACTTAACGCTTTTTAGGTTTTGTGGAAGCAATGGAACTGGTTACCTTTCAGAGATGCCTGTTTCACCCCTGTAGTGAAGCACCTTGCTGCAGAAGTTGAGTAACAGGCACATAGTTCAACTGCTTAAACCACAGACTTCAGCTTGTGCTAAAATGCCAGGCTACAATCGGTAAAAGTTGAGGACCTGACACAGTGCCTGCCTATTCTGCCATATGTGCTGCAGGAGCAGTAATTTCTCTAAGAGGGGCTGTGAGACACCCTGAAGTAACAGCTTAGTTTCTTACACCTACGCTCAGAGACTATGAACCAGAACCCTAAGAAAAAGTTAGTAAGTTTAAGCTGCCTATGCAACAAAAGCAGGAAACAACGTAAGGGTGATTAGGACTTTTTTTCTATTGTCTGACATAAGCCGTACAGCTAATCCTAGATTTCAGATAAAAAGAGTTGGCATTACACTCTACGATACTTGCATTAGCAGAAGCTTTCACTTAGAAGACTGAAAAAATTGCCATGCAAATTCCACATCTGGGGAAAGATTCATACGGAGAACTGTGCAGTGGCGGCGGCGGCAAGGGATTTCCTGTAAAACATACCCTTCTCGCTATACTGCTTATCAGCTTGTTTCTAAGCAATAAAAAGAAAAAAGAAACAGAAATCAACAAATAGAAACCCTTAGTTTTCTATAGCTAAGCTTTAATGCCCAACTCCTGGGCAAGAAGCAAAGATTTTTATTCACAGGATATTCCAAGAAAAATATTACATCAAAGAAATGACCAAGACATCCAGAAATCAAGAGGAAACCTTAAGTGGAAACTGGAATCTGGAAAGCAGACTTCCTGAAACATAAGGAATGGTCTTGCAATAGTCTAATACACAAGTTGCAAGCAACAGATAACAGTGTCTTTACTGAATAGCTTGCTATGGACACCCAATAAATCACATGCGATAATCTGCAAGGCTGCCTTTGTTCAAAAACATTTCTTGTGGTTTTGAACATCTACCTAGGCTCTCCCCATACATTAATTATCTTACAAAAGTTTTTCATGTGGGCAAGCAAAAAAATAGAAGCACTTTCTTTTACAGGTTTTAAAAAAGATTCTAGAAGTTAACAATTACATCTTTTCTTGATAGTAAATTTAAGAATATGCAAGTAATGTAGAAAACTCAATTTCAAAGAAATGTTGAGTACATTTGCAGAATTGAGTTCCTAAGCAATATTTAAAAAAATATTTACTGAAATGTGTTTTCATCTTTCCCTAACAGGCTTCCTTATATGTATTTCTATCAACACTTTAGAGTATAATATAAGAAATTTAAATATCTGGTCTATTCCTCCTTGCTACAATCTTGTTGAATGCTTTAAGCAGTTGTCAATCAACAACTGTCAAGAAACTACAGCCAGAAAACAAGCCAATGTGTCAAACGGACTGATTTTATATTAATTTTGGTGTTGATAAAACTAAACAGCATAATGCCACCCTGACAACATCATTACACTGCTATATTTACAATTTATTATTGATTTTTTTGTAATAAATCCCTTTAATTCTTTTTTTTTTATTTAGAATAATTGATCTAAGAAGCGACAGTTGGTCATGTGAAGAGTTTAGAAAGTACAGAAAGACTTGATAGAATCATCACACAATTGTCTCACTATATACTTTTCTTCTACTTTACTTAACAGGAATTACTGCTGACTTCATGGTAGTGGTTCTGCAAAAATCAAGGAGCAGAATACAGAGACATCTATGAACATAAACCATATGATGGCTATTACACAACTATCAGCTATTCCAAAGAGAGGGCCATTGTTTTTAACCAAACACGTCTCAGTTCCAGAAAGGTCATCTAAAACAGCTGAAGATTTTACACACAAAATGCATAACCTTGTATTTTCTTTCACAACCTTCCTCTTAAAAAGTGTCCTTCTCTGCATGGGCGCACATACTTTTTTGCTCTATTGCGCACACGTTAAAAATAGTCAACACCATTCAGCTCTAAAGCTATAGCTTTAGTGAATGTCACATATGAATTTCCTCACTAAAAAGAGGTTTCATTTCCAGTGTTCTAGAAATACATTGCTACTTTGAGAGAAACTACAACAGAGACATTGCCTAACCTAAACACCTGAGGTTTTCTTCAGCGGGTATTTATTTACTTTAAAGAAGATCCTTCTGGTTCATCTTCTCAGCATGAAGCTCCTTTGCACTACGCCAAAGGCATATTTATGTTTTCTTCTATCATGTACTGGATAGGCTTTAAACATGGGCAGATTTTTCCAATTTAAAGTCCTCTCCGGCTATAAAAACATCATTACATGCAATAATCAAATAATATATAGCTTAGTTACTCACATTTAACAAATGACACATTCTTAGCTCAGTTCTCAGGATGTACACCTCAAATACAAAATTATTAAATACTTAGGCATTTACCTATTGATTGCTGCCTTAATACAAACATCACAGCATCAAGTAAAGGAGAACTCTATGTCACTGGCACGTGCCTCATGTGAACTGTGCCTGGAGATGGCAGACTAATTAATTCTCTTGGAGTTGAACTAAGATTAACAGAAATGTAAGTATTTCTTTGTTAATCTTATGGTAAGATCAGAAGGTGAAGCATCCCTCCCGGATGCTGGCAGCCAACTCTGGTGTGAAAGGGCACAGATGCTACACTGCTTCCAGAATCAATCAGGTGTGAACACAATTTAGCTGCTTCACTGTGGCAAAGAGGCCAAGTTCATAAACCCTGAAGACCAGCAGCCACTCAGTGCAAAGACAAGTGAAGCATGTCGGCAGCAAGCTGCTGGAACTAATATTATGCCATAGACACCAATTATACTGAGGCTGTACTAGTTCACCAAGGTTTATTAGCTGTAGCTCAGATCCAGGCTGCTCTGCGTTCCAGCTTCCTCCACCACGCTCCACAGCATCCTGTAGCACATAGTATCAAGGTATTCCATGATGCGGGGCACTTTGACCTGCAGTCACACCAACTAAAAGGGAGCTGATGGCATAAATGGTTCTTAGCAAGCATGCTCAGCTTTGCTTCAACCTAGAAGTGAAGCCTCAGAAACGTATGGTGATCAAACCCAGCAAAAAAAATAACTGACGATGAGGAAGAGAGCGGGGAGGAAATAGAAAAATTAA